AAATTTCCCTGTTGCCAAGATACCCGTAAACCACCAAGGACAAACCTCTTTGACTAAAGCCAAATATGACCTTCCCCCCACCGCTTGGGTTTATCTAGAATAACCATGCTAAAAGAAAATTGTAAGAGAAGTGGAAACGATTTGGCCACCCCGGATCCTAGTGATCCTGATAATCCGGGCGCGGATAGCGGCAGCTTCCACTCTCCCTCTGAGCAGCACATTAACTGTCATTACCGGTACTGTAAGCGAGTGCTGGAACATGTTTTGAGGGTAACACCCATGTGGGGGTCGATATGGAGCACAATATGAGACAGTAATTGATCTCCAGAACCGCCGCCTTTGCGCCGTGCTGTATCGTGCTGTACCGATACTTGAGTACGCGAAACTTCTGAGCCACCGTCAATTATTACGTTTTCTCTACCATAGATCCAGATCAGTGTAGCACGTATCAGCATTACATCTGAAATAGGTTAAATCTAGTGGAGCTGAATTCCCTTAAAACCGTTCTTGCATACACGTATGATAGACTACAGCACTTTCTACAAGATTGTGGTGGCCACTTTAAATCATTCGTGTTGGAAGGCTGATATCGAAGTCAAAATACCTACAAGAAGTTTAGGTCTGCATGCCTGACGGTATGGTGCAAAGAGGAGAGAACAAAGTTATAGGCATAATTCATCTATTCCAGTGGTTTTACGCCTTTCCAGATACTCGCAATCCCAAACGTCAACTCTTTGTATCCTTTACCAACATTCACTAATCCAGCATCCTTGATCATTCTCGCGAACTCCGATTGGGGGGGGAAACGCTTGATAGACTCAACAAGGTATTGATAACTATCTCTATCTCCCGCTACCAACTGCCCCATGAGCGGAATAATGGAAAATGAGTATTGCTGGTAAATCGCATCAAGAGGCGCGGGCGAAACCTTGGAGAATTCAAGGCAAGCAAAGACACCGCCAGGCTTGAGAACACGGCGAGCAGCTCTTAAAGCCATGGGAATGCGGGTAACGTTGCGGATGCCGAATGAGATGGTGTAAAGATCCACCGAATTGTCGGGGATGCTCTCAAGAGTCTCGGCATTTTCAACACGAAAGGATATCCGGTTGGCTGGGGTGGGGTAGTTAAAGTTAGTTCTCATTCACTGGATGAGATTTACATGTCTGGGCTCGTACAATCATATCCATTCTGAATTGCGCGCTTCTCCCCCTCTCTTAACATGTCTGCATTGATATCTGTGCACAGAACTGTGGTTTCCCGGTCACCGTTAACCTTCTCGGAGTGGTCGAGCATTCTGAAAGCGATATCTCCTGTCCCACCGGCCACGTCAAGAATACTCATAGGCTGGCCGCCTGGTCTACGGCCAGGATTGAGAGACCGAACAAAATGGTCCTTCCAAAGGCGATGGATTCCGAAGGACATGACATCGTTCATTGTGTCGTATGAGGAAGCAACGGAAGAAAAAACCCCAGCCACTGTCGGTTGGATCCATCAGCTACGAGTTTTCATAAAATACAAACCTATTAGTGTGTTTTACCTCTCGTGGACTTGAGCGACTCTTTCACAGTCTGAAAACCAAAATGGGTTACCGGCTCCGAGCTCGACCGGTCATCTTTTGACGGAGACGAATTAGGACCAACCAGAGTCGAATGGGAAGCCGCAACACGAGGGACCACGGAACGAAGATGTTTGCTGGGAGCAGCGGAGAGCAGACCGCGAGAAAGAGGGCGAGCAGACATTGAAAAGAACGACTGGGTTTGCTGAGGGGCAAGAGGAGTCAAGACGAATGAAATTCAGCTGTCTAAAACAGCTGCGAGCACATGACTTAACTGTTGCCCGCCCTTGACTCTCCCGTCGCATGTTACCCGGAATAACCAAGGAGGCCACCGAAACGGTATTTTTGGGTGTTTCGGTGACTCTTGGCAAGGCTCTCTCTTTCTGGCCACTTAATTAACGCCATCTCCCTTTCTCCTCCGCGTCCTCCCATCACCGTCTACTCACCCCAAAGATCTTAGAAACCAAACAGCCTAGCCTTCTTCATCACCCCCTCCCCGCCATTGGCTAAAAGCATTCCGATTCCTAACAGTGTCCAGCTCCCCTTCTTTTTCTTCTAACGGAAGGCAGCCTTAGCACTGTCGCCTGGGGAAAAAATCAAGTTTTTCTAACAACGATATCAGCAAACAAGCAAGCCCATCCCAAACATGAACGGTGATTCCTATTCTTCCCGCGGCGGTGGTATGCTTGATTACCCCTCTCCCTCCCACCTTTCGCGTTTATTCAGCGCGTTTCCTGATATTGAATATTTGCTAATATTTGGTCTCTTTTGAATTTGCAGATCGGCATGGCTATGGCCGTGATTATCACGTATGTGTTTGTCATATCTCTAATCATCCAATCTTGGATTGTTTGGAATAGCCACTTTTTCTAACCTTCAGTTATAGGGGACGGACCATCGCCGGGAAAGAGACAGGGACAGAAACGATCGGGATCGCGGGGATAGGGATAGAGAGCGTGCGGGACGCCGTGACCGTTCTCGTTCCCCACATCGTGGTAGATCCCATAGGGATGATTACTTCGAAACTGATAGAGCTGATCGCTACAGAGAGCGCGATCGCGATACTGATAGATATGCGGGACGCGACCGCGATTACGAGAGAGAGAGAAGAAGAGGTGGCGGCGGGGACAGACGTGGCGAACGGAATCCGAGATATGATGAGCCTCGTGGGGGAAGAAGCACAGCAGCGGCAGATGCTTATCCCGTTAGGAAACGATCCGCAACCCCACCAGTCAAGAAGAGAGAACCGACGCCAGATTTGACTGACGTTACTCCCATCAACGAGAGGAGGCGCAGAATGACCATGTGGGATATCAAGCCTCAGGGGTACGAAAACGTCACAGCTGAGCAGGCTAAACTTTCTGGTTAGTTATTCGTTGTTCATACCATCGGGGTCTAGACTGATCCGACTTTATAGGAATGTTTCCGTTACCCGGTGCTCCTAGGCAGGCACCCATGGACCCAACCAGGCTTCACGCATTCATGACTCAACCTAGTAATGTAGCAACAGCATCCACTCTGAAGCCCACCAACTCTCGCCAAGCGAAACGTCTCCTTATGAGCAACATTCCTCCTGGCACTGATGAAGAATCGTTATTGCAATTTTTCAATCAGACCCTCTCCTCCCTTAATGTCACAACGGGGGGTCCTGACCCAATAACATCAGTACAGCTTTCGGGAAGTAAAATCTTAGGTCTTCTTGAATTCAAAAACACCAATGATGCCACAGTTTGTTTGGCACTCTCTGGAATTGAATTTAACGGGGGTAATATTGAGATCAAGCGGCCAAGGGATTATATCGTTCCTATTGTACCTGAAGACCACCGCCACCAAGAACCTGGAGTAATATCAAGTGACGTTCCTGACACGCCTAACAAGATATTGATTTCGGAAATACCCGAATATTTGCAGGATGAACAGGTTATCGAGTTATTGAAGAGTTTCGGGGATTTGAAGGCATTCGTTCTCGTCAAAGATGTGACTGACGAGACATCTAAGGTAGATAGAAACTAACCGCACTCCCGCTCCCACCTTTAATCTCAAAAGCAAGAGGAACAAGCCCCAATTCCGATTGGCTACTAATTAACCAAATCACTATTTATCAGAAAGTACAGCTATTAACCTTAATATGTTATCTCTCTCGAATTTAGGGAATCGCCTTTTGTGAATACCTTGATCCTGGAACCACGGAAATAGCCGTGGAAGGCCTTAACGCTATGGAAATTGCCGACAATACCCTCCGAGTACGACGTGCTTCCATTGGCATGAAACAAGCAGCTGGTGTCGAAATGGGCGTCAACGCAATGGCCATGATGGCTGGCACAACAAGTGTGGATCTTGAAGCCAGCCGTGTATTGCAATTGCTTAATATGGTGACCGCTGATGAGTTGCTCGATCCCGAAGAATATGATGGTAAGCATGATTTGGTTTTTGATGCCCCAGTCAATAGATGCTGATGGAAAATAGAAATATGCGAAGATATCCGTGATGAATGTCAAAAATTTGGATCGCTTGTTGACATGAAGGTTCCCCGTCCTAGCGGGGGCAGCAGACAAGCAGCCGGTGTCGGCAAGGTTTGTAACATGTTTGACCTCAACTAGTAAGCGACAAGGCTAATGGCTCAATATCAATAGATCTTTGTTCGCTTCGAAACTCAGGAATCTGCGTCTAACGCTCTACGTTCCCTCGCTGGAAGAAAGTTCGCTGATAGAACTGTTGTCTGTACTTACTTCTCAGAGGTACCTACTTCCTCTCCACCCCTGTACATTTTGTGTTCACTGACATTTTTTAGGAAAATTACGAAGTCGGAGCCTTTTAGGATCCCCTTTCCCTCGTAATGCTATTTCTGACACCATAACTTACCCTAGCTCTAAAATGTAGCTCCGTAGTCAATCCAGTGGTGCCATCACTTTTTGACTCTTGTGCTGCCCCGTTCGTTTTTTCTTTTGCATAGGGCCTTTCGATTCTCTCAGTTGTATTTAGGTTGTTTTCCCAGTCACTTGTTGACTCCGGGAGGATCCTGGTTGTTTTACATCTTTCTTGATTATGTAATGTTATTCTTTTTCATTAAATTTTTTTCTAACAGGTGTGCAACGGGTTGTGCCTCGGAGGTGGCGGAAATTCAGACGAGTTTGGCGCCTTCAACTGGCGCTTACAGCTTGATAGCACGATCCTATGCTTTCCAGTAGACGCGACCCACCCCCTTCCACAACCCCAATTCACCGGATTCTACTCGTATCGTTCGGTTATTCGCCCAAGTCTATTACCAATCCTAAAGGCCGTTATTCCGACCCAAGTCCATTTATCAGCGCTAAAGACTGTTATAATAGATTCTTGCCTACTTCCACTATCCTCACTGAAGTTCCTAGAACCTTTCCGGAGCTTACCACGAGCATGCCGTCGAAATAATTGCTTAAAAAAACCCGCTATCCCGCTCGCCTTCACATCTTATCTCACTAACTCGATAACTCCGCATGAGGCATACAATACTCGAGCACAATACCTTTCACTAACTCACCATAAACTTACCAGATGCCATTTGCCGAGCCAGTAATAGCAGTCAAAAACATGAGAAGAGGCTTGGGAATCGAGCTGGAGGGATATATCGGGGGAGGGATTGTAGGAGAGGGGGATTTAGGAAAGGGTCTACTCACGGGCTAGACGGAGAGCTTGGCCTTAGACCTCGGAGCAAACCAAACTGTTGTCCAAAATTAAAATTTTTGGCATAAAATGATTATTGGTATATCATATCTTGCAGTAATTCACAACAATACAGGATCGGCATACGGTATAGTAACCATGGTATTCAAACACCAATATCGCCACTCGTAACATCAATCAACGATCCAAACCACTGCGCCCATACCTGCACACCATCTAACACCCGACGGCTCGATTTACTAGTATCCGGGTTGCCTGGTTAGGAGGGTAAGTAGAAGTATTTCAGAGGCATTATGGAGGTTGGTCCAATTGGTGCTATATTAGGAAATTTGAGTGATATCCCATGACCGCAAGTGGTGAATGAGAAAAGTTGGGCATACTAAGTGACTCCCTCCGCGAGCCGGACTAGGAGCATACTGTATCCCTATTTTTTATCATTTTTGCGACTGCTTGCTATATATTCCTGGTTGGAATCTACTGGATCTAACTGACTTGTGGAATGGTACTGTACGTTCGTATTCCCCTCCCTCTATTTGTGAGTACCTTAGGGCAAAGGATCCGATCGTTACATTGGCCATGAGTGGTTTAGGGCTGGTTCAAAGAAACGACAACAGCCGTTACCACCAGCCAACATCGCTATCTTCGCTAGCGATGTAAATAGCTCAACCATTCAGCCAACCCACTCAACCACTCGGCTCTCAATCGTTCAGCCGACCAGCTCAACCAATCAGTTGACCGGTTCACAAGCATGGTCAGACAATGTGAGTAGCCCTGCTCATTGCTTTTATGGAAGCCTGGGTTGACCTTTGTAGCGTGATGAGTGTTGAGGGTTCTAGATTGATGTTGATTGATCAGGGTTGAGTGTGGAAGTTGTGGGGGTCTGACGGAGAGTTCAGAGGTTCAATAGATCAGCATGGAGGTTCAGAGATTGACACAGTGGATTCTCTATACTTGCCTTTCCTTTGTTATTACGAGAGTATTACGGGAGTGTATAGAAGAAAGGGCAGCATGCGTGGAGAGTTAGTGATAAGTGTGGTGATTCATGGAGGGATCAGGATTCATTGTTTATGTTTTACTTATATCGCTGTCTTTACCGTTAGTTTAGAGAGATGAGACGAGCGCTGCTATTATTCTTACTTCTCACTCTTGTCCACACACTGCTACTGTTCCCCACAGTCACCTAGCCTTCCCTCCACCACTGCGCGATGGGTCCTCCACCGTTATCCCCATTAAGAATGAGGCGATGGACTCTCCTGTTCAAGGTGACACTGTCGAGGAGGGATATGAAGATAAAGGTGACACTGTCGGGGAGGAATATGAAGATAATGATGAAACCCCTGCACCAGAACAGGCTTGTAGGGAGGGGTAGCTCAACCCGAGACTCTTTTCGCGGCAACTATAAAAAAATAGTCAACAAATGGGTGCTTGCTACTAGTCGTGCGGTGGAAGATGCCATCATTGAAGCTTGCATCGCGATGGACCTGCGACACTTGCCCTCTCTCCTTGCCAGTTATTCATACGGAGGGATGGAAGTCGCGCGAACCTTCGCTGGCGTCGTGACGGCAACGAAGTGGCCCGGCGACATGTTCGAGCTCGCTAAAGCCCTGCGCGACATGCTGTGCCGCCTGCACAGGTTGGTGAATGGTAACATGAGTATTGCGCGACGGGTGCAGGTTGTTGGGGTTTGCACGGTAGGGTTGGCACTGCGGTTTGTTTACTTGGGGCAGCCTGGTATTGGGTGTGTGTGTTAGCTCACGCGGGAGGAGCTGGTCCAGGTGCCGAAGGATGTTAGGGAGCTTCCGGAGTTGTTTAAGGTGTTTATGATGGTTGCGCAGTTGACAGTATTCTGGGCAGGATATTCACGAGCAGTCGGTTGGAGCCAACAACGTGAGTGAGGCGTGACTTGGGTGGCTGATGGGCGTTTGTACACCCCGGGATTGGTCGGGAAAGGCGTGCGTTATGATAGAAAATGTATTACGCTAAGCCACACCTGAATTCGTGTATTAGTCATCAAGGGTTTATGCCAAGCGTGGGGTCTTTTACTATTTATTGGCATATTTCTTGCCCTTGCATATAGCGATTTCCGTGACCCCGAATTAGTTGGAAAGAACGGCAGAAAAGACCCTCATCATAGCGAGTAGACAATGACTCAGCAATCGCCGCAGCTCCTGTTGTATCATAAGGAAAGCATTGAGCCCCGGCATGGGGCTTGTATTTATTGGGCCACTGGAAGGAAGCCTGTCTTAGTTTGGAGAGCGCGGAATGCGAAATGTTTGAAAATCAAAAACCTATCCGAAGATTGAGGGCAGGGGAAACAGATATAGAGCGGGGGGGGTACAGAACTCTCGCACCCCACAGAGACGAGAGAAACAGATTGATAAAAAGGGTACTCGACTACTGCCAGTCGAGCAGGTGAACCGCGGGCATACGAATTGAAAAAAAAAAAAAAAAAAAGATCATGACAAGCATAACAATCCAGGAAGCTGGAGGATATAAAGAAATTTTCCAACTCCCTCCCATCTTGGCAACCCATTCCCGATCTTCTCCAACAGGAGCATCCTCACGCGCAACATATTCCATTTTTGCCTCGATGGTGTCTATATTAGCCATTGGGAGACAGGAGCTCGAGAGACCTACTCGAGTATGATACTCGGGTAAAATGTTGTGGCAGGGGTAGACCAAGGGGGTCTTTGCATTGTTAAATGCAGGGCTACCGGAGTGGCTGGCGGTGACCCTCTCCAGAGAAAAAAATCATCGTGGCTTTTATCAAGCAGTCTATGAATTCGCGGCCCAAATTGACAAAGTTTTGGGAAGGCTATTGACATTGGTGGAACCAACCTGTTGGGAGGGGTTCGTTGGTTCTGATTTCTCCTGGAAACATCTGGAGCGCCATCCGGAGGCTATTTATTTATTTATAAGGCATGCTGGGGAGTTCGAGAGAGCATATGGGGCCGGGTGACAAGCCTCCAAAGCACATCCCTCTCGCTAAGGACGGCCCGTAATAACACCGATAGTTGTCGCGGGCTGAGCAAGCTTTGCGCAGATGTTGTACTTCAATCTACGGGGGTTCCGGGTTGAGAGGTCCAGATCAGAGGGTTGCCGGTGAAGATGAGCGCATGACTGACCGGAGGGTACCAGAAAGCTCTTTCCACAATCAGCAGGAACCTTACCACGGGTACCTCTTGGAGTCTGGGGTTGACGGAAGCTGCCTGTATTTCTTGTAACCAATGGGCAGCAGCAGGGGGCAGTACCGGTAGATGGAGGTGAGGAAGTTTATTGAGGGGGGTAGAAAGATTGGTGGGGGAAATAGGCAGTATCCCAGCGTAATTAGGGGTGGAACCCGTTAGTAGCTTCATAGGTGTTTTAATACTTATCACTCAACAATTGTGCTTATCCACTCCCGTACGGGATTCTAGGATATATTTACTGCATTATAGCCCTGTTACAAGTATTGCAGGGTTCTCCTAGCCTTGCCTATCCATTATTCAATGAAGGAGAAGTTGCCATTGATTTTACAATGTGCTCAAGAGTATTTTAGGGAGAAAAAGAAATGTATAAACAAGCCTTGTCCTTTTTGATGTTGGTTGAGATGTTTTTTTAGGAAGAGATCTTTGCTGATGAGGCCGCAAAAGTGCCATTTTCCATTACAAGTATCAATCAACAGCAGTTAGTATAGAATTAATTTTATGGCAAGCTGGCCCTGGAAGGTCATCGCTCTTGAGGCTAAAGTCGAGAAACTCAAACCGAAAGAACATTAATTTCTTCACTCTCACGATGGCCGTACTCGATAAGTTAGACTACCATCTGGAACCCCGTAGACTCAGACAGCCCTTTTACCTACTCGTACATTAACCGCCAAGCCTGGAAAAGTGACATGAAGGGAAGGAAAAAAACAGTATGATACCGTACTCGCACCGGTAGGAGAAAAGTGAGGCCAATAAACCGGGTAACAATGCGCACGTGATGCAACATCTGGAAAATTTCCCCTCAGAACTTTAATTTCCTTCCTCCCACGTCCTCTCCACCTATCCATCGACCCCTCTACCTATAAAGGACTTGCCGACTCCCCACATTTTCACCCTTTTACACCTTTTGCGGAAGAGTGCGCGTGCGGGAGGAATTACACAGGCACAACCAAAACGGAAAAGAGAGACAAAACCTAATTCATGAGACGAGGAATAATAGTCGGATAATTCAGCAAAAGCAAAAGTGCCAAAAGTCAAGCAACATGTCATTCTGGGACAATTTTACCGGCAGAAAAACCCCCCGCCAGTTGAGCACTACGAGCACTACTGCCGTCTCCCGCGACCACCCGTCAGATGGCGGCGACATCGCCCCGACCTCATCCTTCACGCAACAAAATACCTTCGACCCAACGGGCATCACGTCCGTCAGTTCCTTCCTCGCCCCCGCCGTCGCCGACCCGGCGGTCCTGCACCCACTCGCGGGACTAGACAAAGGCCTCTCATACCTGGACCTAGAAGAAACCGCTTTATCGACACTCCCGGGCTCGCAAACGGCCCTCCCGTCCCGCGGCTTCGGCGATGACTTATGTTACGGTACCGGTACCACCTACCTCCTCGCGCTGTCCCTCGGTGGGGCATGGGGTTTCGCTGAAGGCCTGAGCAGATCCCCGCCTAATGCCCCACCACGACTACGTCTGAACGCGGTGCTCAACGCGATGACCCGACGGGGGCCCTTCCTGGGGAACAGCGCCGGCGTGCTGGCTCTTGTTTATAATGGGGTGAATTACACGGTCGGGAGTTTGCGTGGTAAACACGACGCAGCGAATAGTATTATTAGTGGCGTCGTGGCCGGCGCGATTTTTAAGAGTACGAGAGGGGTTAGGCCTATGCTTATCAGCAGTGGGATTGTCGGCGCTGCAGCGGGGGTTTGGGCGATTGGATTGAAGGCTTTGTTGTAGGTTATGGGTGTTGCCGAAGGGAGGGGATGGAGGGGGGGGGGCGGGCTTGGGTTCAGAAATCTCACCTCATTACATGAACATAACATAACATGATAGTTCCTTTTTTCTGTCTAGATTGTGTGTATAAAAGTTTCCTTTTCTTTCTCTCTTTTTTTCTTCGGCATTTCCTTCTTCACCCCCCCCCCGGAGCTCTCCTTCACCCCTTTTCTGTTTCCACTTTTTGCCATTGGAGCTTTAGATTGTTCTTCCCGTCGCTTCTTCTTAACCATGGTCTACGGTGTTTACGAGAAAGAAAGAAAAAATCCAGCACTTCCGTCTAGTCTGGACTGGATGTAATATCACTTGCTTGAATTGTGCCTTTTCCTTTCTTCCCTTCCACTTTTACTTCAGCCCAAGTTGGTGCCGGAATCATAAATAGATTGTAACGAGGTCCCATGCTAGAGCATGGGAGATATCATGGGTTGTCACTCGATTTGTGCAGTCGCGAAAGCCTAGGTAGTTGGCAACACGTCCCCCCAGTAGAGTAGAGTAGAGTAGAGTACGTGGGGTACTTGTAGAGGGAGGGCAACGCCTCTACTGGTAGCCAGGACCGCATATTACCTATCATAATCCTCCGTTCCCAAGTCCAGTGAGATTCAATGGCACTCCCATTATCGGGACCGGACTGTTAATGGCATGAACATCACATAGCACGGTTCCATCGCGCCCGATCGATCAATCGTTCGTTTTCGCGCCCCGAAGGTTTTTCTCCGGGGTGGGGTGCATCCCGTTGTGTGTATTATTCAATTCCCGGTCGTCAGGGTTGGGCATGGTGCAGGTGGGTTATCGCCGGGTTTTCGACATGGTGGATTGTCCGCAGCGTTTCCTAGCAGCTTGACCGGGGTGGCGAAAGACGGAAAGTACTAGTACAGTAGAGCCGGTGTGCATGGGTGTGTGTGTGGGGGGGGGGGGCGGTTTGGCCGATTGATAGATAGGTATCCGCTCCTGTGATGCTTCCTTGCATTCTCTGGGGTTATGTGGTCAGTTCCGCGTCTCTTGGTGGGGGTTTTCCGGGTCGGTAGATGGAGGAGTTACCGTTGTCACTTTCGTGGATAGCGAAGAGTGGTGGAGTGATTGGGGTACGGTACTATCGGTAGTAACTTATAATGCAAACGGGCGAATGTCATGAAATAGGAAGGATCCTGAGGACTTGCAAGTTTAAAGGATTTAATATTTCGTATACCACCTCCTTTTGCTTCTATGATAGCTGTAACTCCATTTTGTCGTGGAACACCACAATTCTTTCTTGAAGGAATTCTGGGGGGGATTAATCATTTCTCGTGGGAGGAAAGCTCCCCTCGGTAGGTTTCTCTATTGTATTGTGAGTAGTGCACATATTATGCTCCACCGCACTCTTGAATCTCCGGCGAGGTGTGCGTGAGTGGGTATACTCTCCCCTTGTCCTGTCCAGTCCGGCAGGTAGAGTACTGCGCACATGTTCAAGGTTGCCGGGTGGTATGATATCCTGGGAATAACTTGGATTTTAATAAATTGTGATAGTCGGACGCCTGGGGGTAGTTGGTACCAGTCTTGGCGCCAAGTCGCCTGATACTTCAAAGGAGGGAACAACTCGCAATGACCACACATCTCAGCTCCCCAGCAATAACACGGGTGGGAATAAAATACACTACAAGTATGGGCGATCAGTGAGCACCGCGTTCTCTCGGAAACAACAATTGGATAAATTTAGAGGAGGAGGGGGATGGCAGTGAATTACCCAATGCGGGTTAAAAATAAGCAAATCCGGAGAGGTAATTCCCCAGCACTAGCCGTAGACAAGCATTCCCGGAATATCAAGATCCCAACAAACTCAATATTATTATCGAAGCTCGAATCCTCTAAAATTCTCGGTAGCGAATCGGACGGTATCTTGTTCGCTCCTCCACCTGGGATCGCTCGGTGCTCCGAGTCTAAACACCGGCACTGACTGCACGAGCGGGCTTGCCCCGTGACGGAATGAGTGGACCGGTCACTAGTAAACATGGTTCTGTGGCTACTGGTACTGATGATGCGTGCTGCGGTGCGCGATACTCTCTGGTGCCGTGGGAGGATCCTCCAGCGGGGGGGGGTAGAGTCCTATTGGCAGCGCCATTAATGCTGTAGTATATTCATGCAAGTGCGTTGGGGTTTCCTCCCTAGCAGATCTATTGTGTTTCCATTCGTTTGCATCAGCAGAGTGCGCAGGTCGGGGTTTCCCCCCCCTCTTCGGACGAAGAGGTGAATCCCAGACGTCTTGCAATGAAGTTCGATTATTCCAGTGAGCCCCGGAATGCCCCCGTGGGCATTGAAGTACTGTACTCGCGCGGCTGAGTTGGAGCTGGACACCCGCTGGGCGCGGTGATTGCCTGGCTAATTAATGGACGTCTCCGGGGCCCCGAGCCAGTGGTGGAATATGGGGCCAAACAAGGACTCCAGGGGACATTGGTAGACTCTTCCTCGGGCCGTGAGTGGACACTCCATGAGAAGCTTTAAGGAGCGATACTTTGGTGGTGGGGGGGATAATTTCAGGCTGGATCCCAGCTTATGAGAGCATGGGGTGGGAAGTGGTTTCTCAGGTCACGCACAAGTACGGTACTGTACTACTCGAGTAGTAGTATGCCGGTCGAAGAATAGAAAATATCGTATCAACTCATTCAACTGGACCTCACTGGTATGATATCTTAAAACAAGGTGAGGTGTGCCAAGGAAATTGCGCAATTTATCTTGTACGAGAAATATTAGTTTGGTCACAATTGGGAAGGTGTAATTAGAAAGAATACCGGGGTTGTATATTAATTTTATCAAATCTTACGCATTTTTGCTTAGCTCAACCTCTGGAAAGTTGGAGATTGTTTTGGGTTACTGCAAGCGTTCGTTTCGCATTTCAAGACAGTGCTCTGAAAATTATTTTATTTTATTATTCGCTTCATTTCAACATACCAACCTGACGTCCAATTATGTGTGCCAGTAACGTGATTGTTAATTGCATGGCCCCTGCACATGCTCATCATTGGTCGGGCGATCACTAAGAGTTGAAAACTTAAGCTTATTTTAACCCCCGATCACTAATCTTTAAAACTCGAGCACAACCTCACCCCCCCCCCCGGCAAGCAGAGTTAACAAAATATATATCACGATGGGTCTCCAGACCCTCACTCATCACATCGTCCAATTGGCAGGACTATAGACTATGGAACGACCCAAACCTGGACTCATCGGGAAATACCGTACGGTACATCCCTGAAGTTCCCACGGATCAGCGACCGTTGATCGCTGCCTGATTTACCCGCGGTGGCGGCGGCATAGGTGTGTTTAATTGGCGGGGGGGGGGTACTGTACGGGGATGTTGTGGTGGACTGTGCGCCGCTTTGGGGACTTTGGTGATGATGGAGAAAGACAGTTCCTTACCCTTCCTGGCACTATTCATACCGAATTAAATTTTTTTATGTGATACAAGTACCTCTGACGGTAATGAGCACCCGGGACTCAAAAATTAAAACCCCCTTCCCTTGTCCATGGTATCACTACACAATACGTGTAACATCCCCACAACCGCCTTATGAGTGCTTCCCGGGGTGAGTGCGCTAGTCCTGATGTGGTATGTGACGCTACTGCTTTGGACCATGTAATTGGTGGGTTTGCCCGACATACCCGGCTCCAGCCTCAGGTTTCGCCTCAGGTTTGAGAGATATCAGGGGAAATCGCTAGTCTGGGGGAGAAGTCTTCTCTGTGGATGTGAGCTTTGCGTGGTTCGGGATCGCTGCGCAGGGGGGCATGGGTGGAATAATGGCGAAAAAGTTGGGAGAATTTGGTTTTGTCGAGGAGGTTGATTCTGAGCTGCCGGCACCACTGGTACGAAGTGCGTAGGCAAGGAGCGCTATAGTACGAGTACTCGTGCTGCGCTGTGCTGTGCTCGCCCGACCGGGGGAGCTGGTAGGAGGGGTGGCCCAATCTATCATGCCGGCATTAACGGGCAACCGTCGGGGTGCGTTGCGTGCGGGGAAGGCTTGTCATATACCTTAAGAACGCTTTGTACCAAACAATATAAATCCCTCCTATTCCTTCCTTCCGTCCTTCCTTCCTTCCTTCCTTCCCATAATTTTAACTCCCAAGAAAGCCCCTCTACAGCAACCCCAACCTTCGCAAAACCTCCAGCATGTCTACAACCCACGGCACCCCTAAAGCAATCCCAATCTGGATCATCTTCTCAACCCTGGTAGTAATTTACGTATGAGATGACGACCCCCCCCTCACCTGACCAGACTAAACTTCCTCCAGGACGCATTGTACATCCTCTTCCGCCCATACTCCTTCCCCCCCAGCGCCCTCTCTAAGATCTAGCCGGGCCACACCTTCTACGCCACGGTAGACCACCTCTACAGCGCCAGCACCTTCGCCGAGCAAGATGGCTTCCCGGCCGCACAGAGTTGGATGAACCTTGTCGAGTCGGCTGTCAATCTCGTCTACCTTGCCAAGTACTATTGCGGCGGCGGCGGCGGCGGCGCCGGGGGTGAAATGCTGGTGGCGGGGTTCGCTGGTGTGCTCATGACACTAGCGAAGACGACGTTGTTTGTGCTTAACGAGTTTTGTGCCGGGGGGAGGCATGTTGCGCAGTAAGTTACTCACCACGTGATGGATGGATGGAGGGGCTAATGTTGGGGGGGGGATAGTAACGATTTGAAGAATTTTGTCCTGTTTTATGTCTTGCCTAATGGTCTTTGGATCGCGTTTCCGGGTTGGTGCACGTATTGGTTTGCCAGGGAGATTGTCAAGGGAATTGACACTGGGAGTGGGGGTAAGGTTAAGAAGAGGGTTTGAGTTTGAGGTGGGGGGAGGGGAGGGATAGATTGTTTTTGGACGGATTGGGTGGATTCTTGTATGATAGACTAATGGGTGGTTTCCGGCTTCGCCTCAGCTGGTGTATCAGGATCACGTGTGACCTGTCCTCATACTGAGAAGGGTGAAAAAGTAATGGGGGGCAAAGGACAGAGAGAGTAGGATATACTCGTGCCAAGGTTCCCCCCACTTCGAAGAACGCTAAGCGACCTTCGACGGCAGTGGCACTCTCCTAGAGTGCTGAACAGCTCAATGAAAGTAACACCTCAATGAAAGATTTCCTGTGAGATTGGCTCCATTGACAATTAATCGACCCATATTGATCCACCCACCTAATCATGCCTAATGAATCCTATGCTGAGACGGAAGATCAAATACAGCAAGCTATGGATAAAATTGCTGAAGAGGAAAAACCTAACATTGTTGGCATCGCATGGGAATATGGACTTCCAGAACAGCGTCTCCAGGCACGAGTACTAGGCCATCAATCCTGTCTGAGACTTATACCATCCAACAGGAAATTGACACCAGACGAGAAATAAGCTCTTAGTATCTCAATAGGCTTGATGAGATTGGACTTCCTCCAAGATATCGGAACATCGTCTCCTATGCTGATTCAATACTCACCTGTGCTCATCGTAATCCCAACTCTATCTCACTGAGAGTCAGTCACATGTAGACTCAACACTTTCTGCAGAGATATCTCAAGTATCAAATCCGAAGGCAGACAACAATTGATGTAGAGCGTAAGAAGGTGCACTGTGTGGAAGATCTCTGTGACTGGATTGCATGATACAAGATATTAAAGAAAGAGAAAGAGATTGTCATTGGAGATTGCTACAACTTCAATGAAACGGGATTCAGAATTGGGATAGGGAGAGACCAATGGATAGCTACGCATGAGCCTGAATGACCACTATTATTTGCAAGCTCCAGCAATTGGGAGCTAGTTACTATGGTCGAGACAATCAGCGGTGATGGAGCTGTTCTTCCCCCCATGCTCATCATCCCTGGAATTGTCCTTATGGAAGATTGGTTTACCAAAGCTGATCTTCCAGATGATGTTCAGGTTAGAGTCTCTGAATCTGGCTATTTGAATGATGAATTGGGTATGAAATAGATCTGCCATTTTGAAAAATACTCCACTAAATGTCAAGTTGGCATATGGCAACTTCTTGTGCTTGATTGCCACAATTCATACTGCACCACAGACTTTATTGAATTTTGTGATACCCACAAAATTCTTCTATTTTGCCTTTTCCCACATTCAATACATCTTCTACAACCCTTGGACATGGTAGTATTCCAGTCTTACAAACACTACCACGTGGAGGCGGTGGATGCAGCTACACGGACCGGCTGTTCTGAGTTTAATAAAACTGAATTTCTTATGGCACTCAATTCAATTCGCTCCCAAACCTTTAAGCCTACAATGATCAAGTCAGCTTTTAAAGAGACCAGACTCATCCGGTTCAATCCTGATATCGTTCTTGGCGAGCTTGTCGACCTTATGGTGCTGGAAACACTAGAGCCACAAACCCCAACCCAGACAGCATACCAAAATACCGCCATCATAGCCACCTCCACCACACTACAAACCATTCAGTTTCTGAAATGTCAAGTCGATTCACTTCTCTTCAAGCTTGGAGAACTTTCACATACCGCTTATTGAAGCCTACATATGTACCTAAAGAGTAGTCTAACCCAGGCTCCGAGTGGTGCACTCGCTCTGGAGGACCTTCAAAGAACCAAGGCAGCAGAACTGGCCCGAGCTGCAGGCCAAAAGTGGAGCTGACACTCAATCCAAAAGGGCAGAGTTTTATATGCCCGTGAGGCGAGAGCAATATTTCTCTAAAAGGAACAGGAAACAGCAGAAAAGGCTTTGGAAAAGGCTCAATAGCTACTTGATACTGCACAGAAAAACAGTGAGAACAAAGTCAAGACGCAGTGGAAAGAAATATCAAAGCAGATGGGGAAGGCTGTGAAGGATAGGAAGAAGCTACAAAAAAAACAGAAACTTTTGCATCATGAAATTGGGGCCTTAATTGTAACTTTTGTTTGTCATGTAAAATAAATCTATTGTTGAGGTGTTACTTTTGTTGAGCTGTTCGGCACTCTAGGAGACTGCTACCGCCATCGAAGGTCGCAAAGCGTTCTTCGGAGTGGGGGGAACCTTGGCACGAGTAATAGTCTGAGGGGAATGCTTGCTTGTTCGTCTCTTGCAATTCCCCTGTCGCCCAATGCCCAAAATGCGCATATCTGAGTATCACGAGAAAAGGTTTAAAACACCATTGATTACAGGGGTATATGTTTAATATATGATACCATAACATACCATCAGTAGGGGTGGAGGAAATAAAAGTGGTCACTATGTCTGAAATTCAGACTTCCCTATACGGGTTTTGTATATGTTCTGTCCTAAAGAAGGCAGAACCTTTGACCTCAGTTCAACCAAGAAAAAACTATATTTTTGAGCCACCTTTTCCAGCAGAGTACCGTAAAAACCCTCATAATCCACTATCTCCGGAGCAGGGGTTAATCTCCATAGCAGGCCTAAGCGAGCATTGCCAAGAGGGTGGGTGATCGGGCGTGATTCCAAAATTAGTATTCTTTAACGACATGATAGAGAGATGAAACAGGTTATTCAAAACTATTTACAAATTCTATATTATTATCATCCACCTCACTAATCTCACACTGATCATCGTGTGTGTTAATATCCTTCCTCCAATCCCCAATTTCAAGTCCATTGAAGCCCTTAATGTTGAGCTCATGGTCTGCACTACCATTGATAGGTAGTGCAAGCCCAACCTTCCAAAAGACATGGCGGATAATCTCTGCTTTCTCCTGATAAAACTTATAATAAGCTTCACCAATGCAGAAGGTAGTCATTATCTGCCGGTCTCCAACACTCCACTGCTCAAACACCTCTAATGATTCTGACTCAAAGATCTTCCGATCAGTGAGATCCCGAACCATCTCTTTCAAAGGCTTGTTTACTGACACATCCAAAGGTTGGAGTAGGCCAGTGCAACAGCCAGGAATTAGAGAGGGAGTAATGTCATTCTAGCGAAGGAGTTCAAGAATGGCGGGGGTCTTATGAGAACCCATGAGATCGAGGGCGAAGAGAGTAGGATGGCAACCGAGTACCGGAAGAAGTTGTTTTGTAATATAGTTTTCGAATAAAATATCGCCCATGTAGGCTGTAGGATTATACTCAACCAGAACATCCGGATGATACTTGCACTTCTCTGCCCCCAATCGCTGACCTGTCCCACGAAAAACTATCATTCGCGGCACTCGATTAATACCATCGGCAAATATACAAAGAACGAGACTCGCTTGCTGCTTGTCTCACCCGGACCACGATTCTTTTATCCATACCGTTTTATTACCAATAGTATCGTAGGTCTTGACGGACAAATACTCGAATGGAATTGGGATTTCATCCAGGTTGCAGATGTTCGACAGCTCATATCTGCCCACCAGATGTTTGATACTAACTTCCCAGAATTTTGAAGAACGGGGTTGTAAATTTCTTCGATTAAAGCGAAGCCAGTTGATTACCAGGGAATGGTAATCAGCTGGCAACTTTTGAGCTGTTTTCGTAATACTACGAAGACTAATTCTATTGCGTGCTAGAAACTCTCGAAACCATTCTGGGCTGAGCCGAAAGATTGTTGGACTAATGTTAGGATAAAGGGATCGGAATAGAAACTGGGATTGAACTCTAAACCATCCTTGCTGGACAGTTCTCCCTGCTTCCCTATGCTTCAAGAAGTCTCGGTAGAGTTGAGATTTCAATTCCGGCTAAAGAATCCTAGTTGAGCATCCCAATTCTTCCCTCCTCTTTATAGTAGATGTAACCAGTACGGGCACTCAGTTATTGGTTTTGTTTTATGTTTTGTTTTAAGTATTGCTTTGATACTTGGTTTGTTTTAAGTATCGTTTGATACTTGGTTTGTTTTAAGCATCGTTTGATACTTGGTTTTGTTTTATGTTTTGTTTTAAGTATCACTTTGATACTTAGTTTGTTTTAAGTATCGTTTAATACTTGGTTTGTTTTAAGTATCATTTGATACTTTGTTTTGTTTTATGTTTTGTTTTAAGTATCACTTTGATACTTATTTAGTTTCACTAAAGTGTATCGATTGATACCTTTGATTAGTTTCATTCATGCTAGGCATGAACAGAATTATGTATTTAAAGACCACCTGTTTCAACGATAGAAAAGGCAGACTTCGACAGACAGTATTTCAATATACTTGGTTGAACGGTTACTTCTTTGTTCCTCAGAACATCCTCGAAGCCTCCTTTAGTTCTCAGCTCTCGCCTCCTCTCTGGAAGAGCAGGCCACCTGCCAACTATCGTATTCATTACCAACAATGTGATTAGCTCCTTGTGAACACGTTACATTTTTTTAACCTCAGCAAGTGGTTAAGAACCTGTCTCCAGATTTAGGCCTGATTAACCTATCGATATCCACCTCAGAATACTAGCGGAGAGAAGTGGCAGAATCACAGCATATTCAGCTTCATCTCAAATCCAACCTAGAGTATTTGATGACTAGGAGTGGGAAGCAGATCCCACGACAGGACCTTACAAGAAAGAAACAACCTCGACGCTCTGCTAAAAAGCTGGGAGAACCTGCAAACACGGAAGATACACAGCCCCCAGGAGAATTTCCTTCTACCTCAGCAAGGAAGCCTTCCTTTGATCCTCCAATTGATCCCGAATCCAGTAGTGAATCAGATATGACTAGTACAGGAGGAGGACCTTCAGAAGGAGGGCCTTCTGGAGGAGGAAAATCTCGTGCTCAAGAAGAGGAAGTACCCACAGCATTTGAACCTCCTAGGTTTAAACTCCACCTACCAGCAAAGTTTACAGGCGAAGGAAAAGACCTCAAACCCGAAGCTTTTGATCGATGGGCGACGGAACTCTCACACTATCTTCTCCAGCAAGGGAAAGATGTGGAAGACCCTACAACCGGACTTTATATTAGATCATTCTGCGAAGGAAAAGCAACCGATGCATACCACCAATGCTATAAGGATTATGGCGGAAATGTGAGATTAAGAGGATCTATAGTCCTCGAT